AGGCATACACTTGGAACAATTAAGATGCAATTGATTGGCCGACCACCAAAGTTGCATAGCATTCAAATCATTTTGTAAACGAGAGATATGATAAACCAGAGTGGAGATCATTTATAAAAAGGGTTAGGAGTAAAGCTCCAAGATTATCAAGACTACCTTGAGGAAAACCAGAAGAATCGTGAACCCGTTTTGAGGTAGTCAGCCTTAGCATTATTCTTTGGGTCCTACCCTTTCAATAAGTAGAGTAAGAGGGTTTTGAAGAATTTGTAGCAGAATGGAGAGAGGTATGGGAAATAATAGGAGCAAGTATAGAGTCAGTGGAAGTTATATTACAGACAGTGGAGTAAGTTGATTGGAAAACATTAGCAAAGAGGTTACTAGCATCAGAATCATTGTTAGCTTTATACGCCCCAAAAGTAAAAGAAGATGGCAAAATTGAAGATTTACGCTTCAAGTTTACAAAATTATTAATCTGTGTATGATTTAGGGAAAATTGCCTTTTACATCGAGTAAGATTAGAATATAATAATACTGACAATTCAGAAAAAAGAAGTTCGACTTGGCTATAGAATATTTAGGATTGCAATTGAACATTGCAACCTCCAGAGTAGGATGATACACATCCTTTGGAAGATATAAAGGAGGGATCCTGAACACATTAGCAGTAAGGTAATCGTTAGTAAATACAAGATCAAGTGTTCTATTCAAATGATTAGAAACTGAATTGATTTGAAATAACGAAAGGTCTAGCATGCATAATCTTGCTGTGCTGAGGATATTAAATAATTTTCGGCACTGAATAATCACCATGAGATGTTCGGCAAATTAAAATCACCCAACACTATAAGCATGTGATATAAATATCATATGATAGAAAAGTTACCTTAACAGAGACAATCTCAGCGTCAGTAGGCTTAATAAAACAGAATCGTTTTGACTGGAGAGTGGCTTTAACGGCAATAGATTTTTAAGCTTAGAAATGAAAGCACTAGTGGTGTCAGACGAAATTCGAGACACAAAAACTTGCCAACAGTCAAAATATTAGCTGATGGGGCTGATTGCCGTGATTGCTTTTAACAGCCTGGGCTAGATTTCGCTCAGGTCTATCTTTGCACCTAGAAGCTGATGGTGCTGGATCAGTTTCGCTGAGTGGGGCAGGTTCAAATACAGGGTCTACTGGGACTACTCCAGGGGATACCACAAGGGTAATATTCGAACAATCGCTTGGAGAAGGCGTTAATGACAGAATTGGGGATAAAACCAAGATGTTAGGCATGGAAGAAAGAGGCGTAGGTGTTTGAACAAATGTAGAGGGCAAATGCAAAAATTCGGTCTCTAACCGGCGATTTGGTTTATTTATTATTAAGCTATGTGCAACTCGAGTCATAGTTACACGAGAGCTGCTCAGCCACATTATTAAGTTTTAAGATTTTTCAGTCTGAGAAAATCAATTTGGTTGTCGATTCATACTGAGCACGACCAACGCAAGCCGCCGCAGCCCTTCTTGGCAATGGCAACGATCACGCCCAATGAGACCTGCACATATGGTATGCATCATATTCTCACACAGCCAGCAATTAACAAATTGCGACAATGCAGAATCATCAGCCTCGAGCTGCTCGAACGTGCAAGGTTTCTTACAGCACGTCATTTTCTCTACCGACGTGAAGAGATAAGCAGAAGTTGCCAGAGCACAGGGCTAAACGAAATACGGTGCACAAAAATAGAGCAAGCAAAAAATATTCGTTCACAAACAAATTGTTTGGAGCGAAAAGCAACCGCAAAAACTTGCGAGAGCGCGATTCAGGAGCAGAAATATTCACCAGCGAATACACGCACAAAAAAATGTATGCACAGGAAAGCACCAAAACAAAAGAATCAAATCAAAAACGCCGCGTTCAATAAATGCAATAATTAACAGACTAACGCTGCATAACAGATAGACTTTTACACAATTTATAGAAGCTTATTAAATAAAGCACAAAAAATTATCATCTGCAAAAATTAGTAGCCATTAGCGTTTCTGAAACTTCTCTTTTGAGCTCTGTTACCCAAATAATCTGAGATTCAGTTGGGAAGATCGACTGGGTAGATTAACGAGAAGGCGTAATTTGTGAAGTAGTTGGAAGTGAAGAAGAAGTAGCTCTGTGCAGCTTACGTCTTATTAAAAATTTAATGTTGAATATCTTCTATGTTGTTGTCCAATTTTCATGAAACCCAAAAGTGCATAAATATGGTGTTCAAATGCAAGATAAGCCAAATCACAAAGTTCTAGCCTTAAAAACAAGTAAGATTGGTCTAGTCGGAAGTAACCGTCTAGGGGACACCCTGAACCTTCATCTACTAACACCAAATGCACCTCGCGATACGCGCTTGTTTTCTTAAGCAATAAAGTAAATTTTCAAAAAATTTCTTCCCCGTACTGCACTCCACAACCACACCAGTAATTAAATTTCAACGAAAACCGGGGAAAAAAGAATATCTTCGCCACGCCACAGACTTAAGACCCTCGGAGAAACTTCCCTATAGCAGATTAGTGAGAATAGTGAAGCTCGAATATGCTGAGTTTTATGAAAATATATTTGAATACAGAATATTTCGCCACAATAGATCGTACTATTTGACCGATATATTTTCTATGGCAGCTATATGATATATTGGTCCGATGTTTATAAAATATTGCATACTAAAACTTTTATATGTGAAGACAAAAAAGTTTTTCAGAGAAGAAACTATTCTTTGACCAATCGTTCCTGCTACATCTATACGATATAGTGGTCTGATTCGGCCGGGGAAAAAATAAGTGAAAAATTCCTAATCTGTGTATACTATGCCCACATGCCAAGTTGGTGCATAAGGCGCTTATTGTTTTTGAGTTAAGCCTTATAAACCAAGTTAGTAAATTCATTTTTACCTGTTTTTATACCCTTTACCCATTAAAAATGGGTATAAGGGTATATTGTATTTGTGCAAGTTCCAAATGTATGTAACAGGCAGAAGGAAGCATTTCCGAAACCATAAGGTATATATATTCTTGATCAGCATCAATAGCCAAGTCGATCTAGCCATGTCCGTCTGTCTGTCCGTCCGTCCGTCCGTCCGTCCGTATGTATGAGCCAAAAGATCTCAGAACCTATAAGAGCTAGAGAAATTTTAGATGTAGATGCTCCTAGTTCCCGCGCAGATCGAGTTTGTTTCCGGGAATCGATAACTTACTCCGTTTCCAAGCAATCGATAAGAATCGATATCGACATCCTGTTTTTTTTAGCAAATTGGGTAAATAATAAGAGCTAGAGCCACCACACATGATATGTTGCTTCTAGAATATTATAGATATTTCAAGTATCTTTCATTTCATACCTATCGCTACCTCCCCGCTACCACCACAGAGCTATAAATCAAGTTAATAACCCAGCTTTTATTGCCAACCAATTTAAGCCACAATTTAAATGCAATTGATTTTTTCAGAATACACAAGTATTCTATGGTACAATAAGATATACTGTAGAAAATTTCATAAAGATCGGTTAAGAAAAACCAAAGTTATATGCAACTGCGCAATTGAATGGGGCAGCAGCTTTAAGAATTTCTGTATACATGTACACACACACATTCATGCGCGTCTGCTTCGCATTCTAATAGCATGGTAATTGCACCTTTTTTTGTAATGTTTTTTTAGTTCCTTTTTTTATCATAAGTACTTAATTGTTGGTGTGGCTGCTGAGTAGAGGCATAGCAAGTGGTGCGGTCTGCCGCGAGTTCGAGCCCTACCGGGGAAAGTATTATTATTTTTTGGTTTTTGCTGGTGTGCCTGTTGAGTAGAGTCGACAGTAAGTAATACGGTCAGTTGCAAATTCGAGCCCTGCCAAGGGCTTTTTTTTTATTAATTTATTTGGTGTTGGAATAAGAGGGCTCAGGGTATCCCCTAGTCGGGAGCTCCCGACTAGAACCTCTTACTTATTTTTTTAAAGAAATTAGAAGAGATATTGGGAAAAAAATTATACTCTTGTTTTGTTAATGGTGCTTATATATATATATATATATATATATATTATATATATATATATATATATATATATATATATATATATATACATATTCAAAAAAAAACAATTAAGAGGTTCATGTCGGGACTTTGGTTTTTTCTTAACCGATCTTTATGAAAATTTCTGCAGTATATCTTTTTGTGCCATAGAATATTTGTGCATTCTCAAAAAGTCAATTGCATATAAATTGTATCTTTAATTAGTTGGCAACACAAGTTGGGTTATTAGATTGGTTTATAGCTATGTGGTAGTAGCTGGGAGGTGGCGATAGGTATAAAAGATACTTGAAATATATATAATATTCTAGAAGCAATATATCATGTTTGGAGACTTTAGCTCTTATTATTTATCTAACTTGCTCAAAAAACAGGATGTCGATATCGATTTTGATCGATTGCTTGGAAACGGAGTAAGTTATCGATTATCGGAAACAAACTCGATCTGCGCAGGCACTAGGAGAACCTACATCTCTAGCTCTTATAGGTTTAGAGATCCTTGCCTTCATACGGACAGGCGGACGGACGGGCGGACACACAGACGGACATGGCTAGATCGACTCGGCTATTGAATATCAAGAATATATATACTTTATGGGGTCGGAGATGCTTCCTTCTGCCTGTTACATACATTTGGATTTAGCACAAATAAAATATACCCTTTTCACCCATTTTTAAAAGCTATAGTGAGTTAGAGGCTGATCGGTTTGTAAACGAAACATTTTTATATAACCGTTGTCCGCAACTTTCGCAAACCTGCGAATGAAAGTTCGCGTCTTGGCGTGAATCTTCATTACATTAGGTATGCGTTGATCACGAATCATTCAGTCAGTCAGGACATATAGTTTTACATACATACATTTACATATGTATGATTCTCGTAGTACTTCTGATTGCCTTATTTACAATTACTTTAAGGTCATTCAAAAGATTTACAAATTTTCGTCTTCTATTACAGTCATGGTACGACTACAAATTAAGGTGGGAACCCAAAGAATATGGTGGAGTCCATATGCTACACGTTCCATCTGATCACATTTGGAGGCCAGACATTGTACTTTACAATAAGTAAGTAACAAAATAAAAATTGGTTGTAATGAAAGAATGGCCGTTAGATTACAATTTTTAAATTAGTTTTAATGTATCCATATGCTTCAAAGCATTCAAAATTTTACTGCGGATTCAAACGCAGCATCAGATAGCACAAAGCAATTTTAATTTTTAAGAAGTATTTTAATTCCTTAGTATAAGTTTAAAAATCGGAATATTTGGTTTATTTTTAAAGATAAGAAATGATTCTTCGAGGTACCGGTGCTTAAATACCCTTGCAGACATGGTATATTTGATAACATCCTGATATAAAGTTGACAAACTTCCATTTGTTAATTTTACAAGTACATATGTTGAACTAGGACGGACCATTATATGATGAAACCTAATCAAAGTCATCAAATTTTTTATTTATTTTTTTGTTAATGATCTACAAAAACGGGTGTCTTCCTTATTAATTAATAGATAATATTATAAAAATTATATGCCCTAAGCCTAATTGAAATACACAATTTTTCAAAAGCACCACCTACACGATGGAGTTGTGTTATTTGCCCGTCCGTCCAGCTATGCTCCTTTTCATAGTTAATTTTGTCAGTGACGATATTACAGCCTACAGCTGAGTAAAAAGGTATAAGTAGCGAAACTATTATTCTTAAATAAAAATTAAAAAAAAAATATACCTAATTTACTATAAAATTTAAGAAAATAAAATAAATGGGAAAAAAGAAAGAATGACGTTATTAATAACATATTGATTTAATACTATGTATTTCGAATGCTAATAAGATTACATGAAGAGATAGTGAAGCAATAATTGTATTAGCGGGAGAGAAAGTTTGAAGGAGAAAACGTGAGGAAACTATTGTAATTTTTGCACAAGACGCGAAAATGATTGTGCATAGAGTAATCTGTTGTGCACGTAGGAATAAGGGGCGATAATTTCTGGTAGGTCTGGACGGAACAGAGAATTGAATACGCCCTTACAGAAAAAAATAATCTTTGTCGCACGGTTTAGAATTTAAAAGAACGCCTAGATCCTTAACTGATAGTATACGTTGCAATGGAGTATTATCGATTGTATAAATGACAAGATAAGGTGTAGTAAGATTGATGGTCATAAGCATACACTTGGAACAATTAAGATGCAATTGATTGGCCGACCACCAAAGTTGCATAGCATTCAAATCATCTTGTACACGAGAGATATGAAGAGGATTAATGTATGAAAGAATAAGTTTCACATCATCCGCATACATAAGTTCATGGGCATGTAATATAAGGGGGGAGATCATTTATAAAAAGGGTTAAGAGTAAAGGTCCAAGATTACCTTGAGGAAAACCAGAAGAATCGTGAACCCGTTTTGAGCATTACCTTAGCATTACTCTTTGGGTCCTACCCGTTAAATCAGTAGAAATCCAAAGCGAAAGCTTTGGTAATGAGTAAAACTTCAGGGCGGAGAGAATAATATGCCTTTCTGAAGTCGTTACTAACTTACGGCCGCCAAATCCCCGAAAGAAGCTTAACCACGCATTGTTGTGCCGAAGATCGACAGTTTTGATATCAGCTCTTGTAACGGGACTGGGCAGATTGAGATGCATCCCTAACATGTGGATAGGTGAGAAATCAATTGTGTGGCCGGTGGAAGAGCCGACGTTGTGAGTGCAGCAGTCTGGCTTACAACCAATTGGCCAACCAATCGCCGGTTGGAGCCTCAACTTTTGCAATTGCCCTCCACGTCTGTTTATCACCTACGCTTTTCTTGTCCCTTCCTAGCAACTTGGATGTATCTCCAATGTTGTCTTTGTCGCCTTCTCCAAGCGACTGTCCAATTACCCCTGTTTCAACCCCTGTAGTAGTCCCACTAGAGCACGTACCTGATCCCGTTCCAGTTAATCAAACAGCCTCAGCACCGTCAGCTCCTTGCCGCAAAGGTAGACCTGCGCGCAATCTTGCCCACATTGTTAAAAACAATCATTGTGCCCCTTAAGCTCCTCCAACTCATGTATTACCTACAGCCCCATCAGCGCCCATTTTAACAGAAGTTGCCCCTCGTAAGCAAGTTTTTGTGTCTCGACTTTCGTCGGACACCACTTCTGAGTCATTGGCAGCCTATATTGCTAGCAAATCTTCCGCTAGCGTTTCACTAACCAAATTAATTTTCTCCACCCCTCGTGAAATATCATCATTCAAAATAAATGTTTCACATTATATGTTCCCAATCATTTGTGACCCCAAATTTTGGCCTCCACACATGATTGTTTACGAGTTCAAGCCTAAAAAGCGTAACCAGCCTGTCACCCTTCCAGTCCCTTGAATACAGGGTACCATTTCTGCCCCAAAAAACTAGCTTCATCTTCTGATCAAATCTTTATTCATTATCAGAATGTTTGAGGTCTCATTTCAAAGCTTAAAAATGTTTTCATGGCCAGAACTTCCTTCGATTCGGATATAATAGCGTTTTCAGAAACATGGTTAAACTCAACCATATCTGATTTTGAGGTTTTATCGAATAACTTTATTTTGTATAGAAATGATCGGCCGACTCGAGGTGGTGGGGTGTTAATTGCCGTTAAAGCCACTCTACAGTCAGAACTTTTCTAGTATGCCCACTGACGCTGAGATTGTCTCAGTTAAGGTGTCCTTTCTACACGGAATATCTATATAACATGCTCCTATATCCCTCCTTCTTCTGATATTCAAGTTTATATGAAACATATTACTTGTAATATAGAAGTTTCCTCACATGTGCGTGATAATGACCTATTTATGGTGTTGGGTGATTTTAATTTGCCGAATATCTCTTGGTCATTATTCACAGCTGAAAATTATCTAGTGCCCTCAGCACAGCACGATTTTATAGACTGCATGCTTGATCTTTAGTTGTTTCAAATGAATTTAATTTCTAATCATTTGAATATAAAACTTGACCTTGTATTTGTTAACGACTACCTCATTTCTCCTCTCCTCTCTTCCTGAGGATGTCTATCATCCTACTTTAGAGATTGCAATGCTTAATTGTAATCCTTACTTTTCGTGCTCATCAGCCAATAAGCCCCGCTGTTGCTTTCGCAAAGAAAATTATTCTTTGCTGAATCAGCTTATTTCTGCAACCGATTAGTCTTTCTTATGTGACTCGGTTGATATGAATACTCCCATTAATTTTTTTTATATCACTCTAAACTCCCTCTTAGATGTGTGTATTCCTAAGTCAATTCCTTCGACTACTTTTTCAAAAACACCCTGGTACTCCCAGATTATCACATCTAAAAAATGTAAAATCTAAATATTTTAAAAAGTTTAAAAAATCTGGTTCGTATACAGACTTGGCTAAATATTCCATAGCCAAGTCGAACTTCTTTCTTCTTAATTCTTAATGCCATGAGAATTATCTAGCTCGTTGTAAAAGGCAATTTGCCCAAAATCCTAGACAGTTTTATAATTTTGTAAACTTGAAGCGTAAATCTTCAAGTTTGCCATCTTCTTTTTCTCTCGGGATGGATAAGGCTAGCAATGACACTGATTCTACTAACCTCTTTGCTAATTTTTTCCAATCAACTTACTCTTCAGTCTGTCCTAATACTAATTCTTACCCTTATACTATTTCTTCCGCTAGTTCTATACCTCCTATCATTATTTTACACTCCTCTCTCCTATTAGCTTTAAACTCTTTAAAATATTCTTACTCTCCTTGGCCGTACAATATTCCTAGTTGTCCACTCAAGGAGTGTAGATCTTCCCTTCTTTATCCACTGCCAAAGCTTTTTAATCTATCCCTTGAAACTTCTGTCTTTCCATCTCTTTGGAAAGAATTTTATATCATCCCTCTTCACAAGAAAGGTGGGAAGTCTGATATACAAAATTACAGGGTCATTGCAAAACTGTACGCTATTCCTAAATTATTTGAAAAAATAATCACTTCGAATTTGCAGCATTTCTGCAAAGCAGTTGTTTCCCCTGTTCAACATGGATTCGTAAAAAATCGGTCAACTACGACCAATCTGCTTGAGTTTACTTCCTTGGTAAATGATGCTTGCCTTTCGAAAATGAAAACTGATGTCATTTACACTGACTTCAGTAAGGCGTTTGACTCTGTGCACCATGACATTTTACTTTTAAAAATTGACCGAATAGGTTTCCCTCCGTCTCTTTTGCTTTGGATTAATTCTTATTTAATAGGTATGACCCAAAAAGTAATGCTGAGGCTGAGTACCTCTAAACGGCTTCACGTTACTTTTGGTGTTCCTCAAGGTAGTCATCTTGGACCTTTACTCTTTACTCTTTTTATAAATTATCCCCCTCTGTTATATCACATGCCCGTGTACTCATGTATGCGGACGATGTCAAACTTTTTCTATCATACACTAGTCACTACATCATTCTCGTCTACAAGACGATTTGAACGCTATGCAACTTTGGTGTTCGGCCAATCAATTGCATCTAAATTGTTCAAAGTGTATGTTTATGACATTTAATCGTACTACACCTTATATTGTCAGTTATACAATCGACAATATCCCTTTGCAACGTATACTAACAATTAAGGATCTAGGCGTTATTTTTGATTCTAAACTCTGTTCCAATCTTCACATAGATACCATCGTTAAAGAGGCAAGAGGTGGACTTGGATTCATTAAATGATGGTCTAAAGAGTTTAACGATCCTTTTTTAACAAAACTTCTGTACATCTCCCTTGTTCGCCCTTTCCTTGAATACTGCTCTTGCATCTGGTCTCCACAGTATAACAATAGCCAGGATCGTATTGAATCTGTTCAGAAGCAATTTCTGCTTTTTGCCTTACGAGGCTTAAATTAGGACCCTTATCTTCGGTTGCCATCCTACTCCAGCAACCAACCGTAGGACAATTCTCGGTATTGTCCATCTACATAAGTTGATTATTTGCGACATGGATTCTCCTTTTCTAGTAGGGCGTCTTCAATTCTCTGTTCCGGCTAGACCAACTAGAAATAATCGCCCCTTATTCCTATCTACGTGCACAACAGACTACGCTATGCAC